GTCGTAAGGGAAAATTTGCTCGGCAACCTTTACATTTTTAGAAAGCAGTCATATGTCATATGTCTGAATGCCAGCAAGTCACCGAAAACTTCCATCATATTTGAATAGGCAGAATTATGACGAAGGTGCTGAAATTCTGACCGTTTCTCATAATTCTCAATAGTAACATATTGGTCTATATTTTTGGAGCACGAAATGTATACTCTATGTATTCAACAAATTCAGATTTTATTATTGGGGAGCAATTTGACATTTGATATGCAGATGATTTTCCAACGAAACAATTTAAATATCAACTCGGATTGCGTGAAAGTCAACGGACGTTCCGTGGACTGCATGGAGCATTGCTCCGATAAATTTCTGCGTTAATATAACATAATGCGCATGAATTGTGAAAGTATTTTCTTGTATAATGGTATGTTTCACTCTTTCTACATGGCTTTGGAACTGTTTTAAATTTTCCGTACGAACAATATTTTAAGAATGTTGACGTTTTATCAAGAAGTCGTTGGTCATTTGCAACATTGAAGGGTAAAGATGTTTGTACCATTCTGTACGCTTATTTGTAGGCATGATTACAAAATACTATATAATATCTCTTAAAATTTGTTCACTAATTGTTTTGTTCACGATATCATATGACGACTGATTGCAAATGATTTCTCGAGTTTTTAAATATATTACTATGCAAGTTTGAACTGTTTATGTGCATGTGATTGATAAAATACCGATTAAAACAAATAATTTGCAAATTAATGGGTGATCAGACGTAAATTCGAACAATAAACCACTGCACCGTACCACGATCCCTCCAAACTCATCATATCTCACCAAATTTTTTGAATCTTCTGCTATGATAAATTATGTTCAGACTGTATTGTAATACTGAGTTAATGGGGATAATATGATGGTTGATGTATATGAATTTCAGCGTTGAAAAATGTATCAATGCATTCGTATCACACATGGAGGCATTTTGCTCGAGTCGGCGATTGCTGTCTTGAGCTTGCTTTTTTCATTCCCTTCATCTTTGTCACACAGTCCCTCGGAAGCCAAGCAGACCGAGTTCGAGAAAGTCGTACAGTCAGCGTCCACTTTGCATGGATCACCCAGTTCATAGATTGGCTCGTTGATATAGTTGCCACTGAAACATTTAACTTCTTTCTTCATGAATCTTACCAAGGGCGCAAACGTGCTAGATTAACTTGAATTTGGTCGGTGAGAATACCGGAAGGTTCTCATCATATGGAAAGTTGAAAGACACACGAATGAGATGTTCACGTACGCTTTCAAGTATTGACAAACAACAAGTGCCGAATTCCATCCCTCGCCAGCTTTACCGCAATTCCTCGCAATGCCACAACCGACTTTCGTCGTATCGCCCCAAGCCATCTGCAAAATGCAAAGAGTTTGTTGAGAATTTGAACGATATTTTGAACGGTGAAGTGACGAACTACTGAAAGTGTGGCAGAGTGAGCAGAATTCCAAGCGAAACATCAAGAAGAGTTATTATCCATCAAGTTGAGTTGAAACAGCTCAGAGAGCACGTTAAGCGAACAACAACTAAGCGTAAGTTAAGGATTTAGCCACATACAAATGATAATTTGGAAGATCAAGCATCGTTTCAATCAGTGAAAGTTTTAGAATTTTAATATAAATGATTAATTTTCAGGAATTGCTGAGAATTTGTTTGAATAACAACGATAATAAGCAAATGCACCTGTGTGAAGTGACCAACGCCTTGATTGAAAACCTCAACAGTCATAATATTATCCGCATTCGAGATGCCGTACTCTTTCAGCTCATTCCACCATGATTGCATTGCGGACTCCATCAGCTTCTCTAAAACGAAACACAAATGCTCATTTCGGCTCTCCCATTGTAGATCTTGAACAGGTGTCCCTCGGCTGTATTTCTATGGAAGAATTTCAGCAGAA